AAATCTTCGTGTTCACTTTAAGAACACACATGAAATTGCCCAGGCCATCAAGGGTATGCAAATATGAAAAGCAGCCAAGTATCTGAAGGATGTCACTTTAAAGAAACAGCATGTACCATTCTGACATTACAATGGTGGAGTTGGTAGGTGTCCCCAGGCCAAACAGTGGGGCTGGACACTAGGTCAGTAGCCTAAAAAGAGTGCTAAGTTTTTGCTGCACATGCTTAAAAATGCAGAGAATAAAGCTGAACTTAAGGGCTTAGATGTAGATTCTCTAGTCATTGAGCATATTCAAGTGAACAAAGCACCCAAGACGCATCACCAAACTTACAGAGCCCATGGTCACATTAACCCATACTTGAGTTTCCCCTGCCACATCTAGATGATCCTTACTGAAAAGGAACAAACTGTTCCCAAACCAGAAGAGGAGGTAGCACAGTAGAAAAAGATATCCCAGAAGAAACTTAAGAAACAAAAACTTATGGCACGGGAATAAATGCAACATAAAATAAATGCAAATAACTGTCAAAGGAAAAAAAAAAACAATTCTCTGAGCCTCCATTTCTTCATCTGTAAAGTTAATATCAAAATATCTATTATCTGAGGTTCCTGTGAGTAGCAAGCGACACACCAGAGAGCTAAGGGCGGCCTCCCAACACATGGGGCACTTTAAATGTTTGTTAATGAATGACTAGGTAGAAAACAGAAGTGTAATACCCAAAGAAAGCAAATTTTTGAAAAAGGAACATCGTAAGTGTGGGAGTCAAAAGGTGAGAATTCCTGTCCTAGCTTTTCTTTTAATATCCTTGAACGCTGATTCCTCATCTGCAGTGGAGGGATAAGAATAAAAATGACAAAACATCATCTTGCAGAGTTACTGCTGGGGGTGTCCAGCCTTTTTTCTTTTCTGGTGCACCTTGGAAAAATAGAGCTGTCTTGGGACACACATTAGATACAAAAACACTAATGAAAGTTAAAAAAAAAAAAAAGGCCCACGCATACTGTTCACAAACTGACACTACAGGTAAACATGTGGCCTATGGACTGTGGGTTGGACACCTGTGCATGTGTGGGAGAAAACCTTTGCAAACTGCAGATTTACAGTTTAGCGAGGGGCCTACGCCCCCCTACTGCATTCAACTGCTGGGGTCAGCAGGGCTACTCCTCCCCCAGTGGAGCCAGGGCAAGGAATGTACCCTCAAATTCTATTTCCCTCCATACATGGGGATAAGACTGTTGTTTCTAAAAAGAGCTTCCACGTTTTATTCTAAAACTTGCTGGTTTCAGTGGGCTGTGTGTGCATGTTTGTGTGTGTGCATATGTGTGCATGTGTAGGTGTAAATGTATCCAGTTTAGTGAGAGCTCTGTCAACATCAGGTCTCCCTGTGTATATATTTGTGTATACAGTTTGTAAAGTGCTTTCAGATTTTTTTTAAGGCAAAAGATAAACACATTTAATTTAAAATCATCAGCTGGATTACATTAAATGGAGGGAAAAGCAAAAAGATACACAATATAGCCATTTGTTAAATTAAACACAATTATTTCTCCTGTTACTTAATTACAAACAGGCAGAAAGAGTCTGGATTCTGACGTCTCAGATCTTCTTAAATTCTAGATGTGCGTTTCGACATGTAATGAAGGGAGGGTCATATTCCAGTTTGTGTGTTAAGCAAACCTGAGAGTTACCGTTGTATATCGGGACCATAATGACTTCACTAAAACAAGACCTAAACTTTTAATTAACCTGCCAAGACAAATTACAACTCATAGCTCACAGGTAATGATCACAGACAGCTGAGACTCAATGCCAGGGACTCTTGGGGAAAGAGGGATTAATAGCAACATCAGAATCAGTCTGTTTTTGTATTAAAGGAAAAAAAAAACAGTATTCATTAAACAATCACTGTAGGGAGGAAGGGAGACTGACAGGTCCGAAAGACAGTAAGAGAAAGGTGGAGGGGAGCGGGATGGGAGAGGGTGCTCAGAGCTTCCATTTATCGCAGGCTCAGCGTAGCCCCGAGCCTGTGCTGACACACTGTGTATTTCTCTGTCTCATCTTCACAATAGGGACTGCAAAGTACTCTTATTATTCCAGGCAAGAAGGATGCAGCTCAGAGAGGTGACATGACTGTCCCTGGCTGCAGGGCTGACATGGGGCAGTGAGGGAAGAAGGCATGAGAATCTACTCTTGTAAGGCCTATGTTTTCAAAGCTTCCTTCACAGACCACTGGCATTAGGGCTCCGCCCGAGGCCTACTGAGTCATAATTTCTGGGGGAGAGATCCAGGAATCTGGATTTTTACCTACTTTCCAGGTGATGCCTTTATTCAACTGTGTTTGAGAACCATCCATAAGGTACCATAGCCCCTGCCAGGATGGGGAACCTGCGGCCTTGAAGTCACATATAGCCCTCCAGATCCCCAAGGGTGGCTCCTTGACTGAGTCCAAATTTTATAGAATAAAACCCCTTTGAATGAAGGAATTTTATCTGTGAAGTTTAGATTCAGTCAAGAGGCTGCACTCAGGGAGTCAGATGGCCACATGTGGCCCCAAGGCCACAGATTCCCCATCCCTCTGGCTCTAAAAGACATTATAGGGTTAAGGGAAAGTGAAGACAGCTTTCATCATTTAGGTGAGAATGGAGAAACCAGAGGGAAGAGCAAAACGGTCTCCCTAATTATGACAAGACAGGCTAGCAAGCTCGGACAGCCAAGAGCTGGCCAAGGCACCTCCCTGGACCTACATTTGATTTGTCTAAGATGCATATCCTAATTAAGTTGCTTTCTTTTGGGTGTGTATTAATATCCTTTCATATTTATGCTCAGTTATTAAAAGTCAATAATTCTAATTGTAAAAGCTGAATCTGTGCAAGCGTGATACTTTATGCCTTTCTGTGAACTGTGCTTAATCAGGCTGTGAGACCAGGAGGCTATGACTCGGGCCCCACCATGACTTGACAGTCACAACCCTCAGCTGAAGCCACCACGTCCAGAAAGAGAAACAGGGACTGCAGCCTCGCAAACCCGCCAAGTGACAGCATGAATGAGGGTGAGGGCCCAACCTGGGCCTCCAGTGACAGAGAAAGGCTGCCCTGCCAACCTTGATATCACCAGTCACCGTCCAGCGGCTGCCTCCAATTCCAGAATCCTGAGAAACCAGAGGCAGGAAACCTAAGCGATTCCTGCAAGGTCAAGACTGCAGCTTAGGCGTGAGATGCAGACAGAAGTGAGCATACTTCCCACCACACTCCCTAGAAGGCATTCAGGGAACAACCTGACAGCGTCACAAGTGCCCAGACTGGATGCTGACAGGCCCACCGAGGGAGTCACTGCCGCACTACTGAGAGACAGCTTGGGCCCTGGGCTGGGTACTGGGAGGCAGAGAAGACTGAGCCAAAGTCCCTGCCCTCCCAGGCACTCAGTATCCAGCAGCTGGGACAGATACCTCCAAACGAAGGACTGTTTCCTGCATCACATCTAGTTGCCTTGATGGCCCCACCTTCCTGTTGCCAAGAGGGGAGAGTGTGGAGGCCGCATTTATAGCAGAAGCATTATTAGTCAGGCCCGCATTTAACGGGAAGGAGCTCTCTGCTTCAGCATGAAGGGCAAAATTTCAAATAAGAGGTTAAATGAGGCTGGGTGTGGTGGCTCACGCCTAGCACTCTGCGAAGTAGAGGCAGGTGGATTACTTGAGCTCAGGAGTTTGAGACCAGCCTGAGCAAAAGCAAGACCCCATTTCTAAAAATAGCCAGGTATTGTGGTGGGTGCCTGGCTCCTGGGGAGGTTGAGGCAAGAAAATCACTTGAGCCCAAGAATTTGAGGTTGCTTGTGAGCTATGATGCCAGGGCACTCTACCGAGGGTGACAAAGTGAGACTTTGTTTCAAAAAAACAAACAAAAAAAAGAGGCTACATGGCTTGAAATTGACTCCTAATATTTAGCAGTAAGAACCAGGGTCTTGTGAGAAGTTTGGAAACCTAGAAACCAGATTCAGAGATTTTTATTTAACCCTATTAGAAATTCTCATGTCCTAGAGACTCTTAGCCAACAACAGAGACAGAGAGTTTTCAGGTAAACTCCAAACCACACAGAACTTTTTGTTAAGCAGAAACCCCATTCCCAGGTGTTCTGATTAATAGAGTTGTGTTTTCTGTTAGGTTTTATTTTACTGTAGGGAATTTTATCTCCAGGCTGTGTCACAGCGCTTCCAATATAAACTAGAAAAAAATGTTTTCCGACCTGAACCACCTACACCATCATGTCCTAAAAGCACACTGTGGAAATCCAAGAAGAGAAATTCTATGAAATGTGTTGATAAAGAAGAAAAATTCTTTAAATAGAGTGCCAGGCTACCCAGACACCCACAGGCTTTCAAGGTGACCGGGGAGCTGGGCCGTGTTCCGTCTTGCGCTCGTCTCACACGGCAGGCTCACGCTGTCAGAGACGAGGGTAGCTCTGCTCTCAGCCAGACCCAAATCCGACTGATTACGTTATTCACCCAGCCCTCTGCACAGATATCCTCATTTTCTCTTCCAGCCTTTATCTTATTTTCTCATCTTCCAGGGATTTTTGGCTCCAAAGCAAAACAGACCAAAACCAAAACAAAACTTAAAGCAACAAATCGGTGAATTGAAGCGAGTGAGAGTCTAAAAGCAATAGTGGGAGGGAAGAGCCAAGAAGGGAGACGCAGACGGCAGGTGGCTTGTCGGCCTGGGCTCCTGACTCGTCAGTTCCACCCTAGTGTTGAGATGTGCTATGAGCCCAGCCCCTGTGCCACACACCCTGCTGGGACAGCATAGGAAGCCGGTGGCTGAAACAGTCCAGAATGGCCTTCCAGCCCCTCCTGCTGACTCACACCAACTCTCCTGCAGCAAGCCTAGCCAAGAGGCCTTGTGCCAGGCTCAGGGCGCTCCTGCAGCCCTGATGTTCCCTTGTCGGTATCAGCCTCCAGAACCCCCAGGTAGCCTCCCACTCGAGGAGACAATACCCCACTTCCTTACCAATGGCAGTGGTGAGAAAGGAAACCACTTCAGACTCCTTCCCATCATTGTAAAAAGCTAGGTGCCAGATTCCTGAATCCAAATACTGGATGAAGCCGGTCTCGTGGCTGGAGGGGGGTACCACTCCCCGAGATTGGCGCTGGGGTCCCTCCAGGCTCCGCGCCTCCTGGGCCAGGAGCCTCCTTCCATCCAGAAGCTCCACAAAATCAAACTAAAGGACAAAGAAAGCACAGTTAGCAGCGGGTCTGCTCTGTCTGGCGCCAGGTTCCTTCTCCAGACTTCTCTCAGGAAGCACCCGGGGAGATACAAACTGAGAGAAGTGCAAGAGGGAAACTGATCAAACTTCCTCCCAGCCCCCACTTTCTCATGGTAACCCTCTCCCGATTCTCTTGAGTGTGGTATCAGTGGGATTTTTCAGTCTTGTTTTAGTAATAATTTTTGCTGTATGGGTGGTAAGTCTTCATCTGGATGAATCTGTACCAGGCCCGCCATGCTTTTCCATGATTAGAAAGTCAGGCGCTTCGTGACTGTTCGAACTCTGTGCAGGTAACGACAGGAATCTCGAGGGTCTGGGACTGGGATCGGAGCACTGGACTCAGTTGGAATGCCTGTCACGTGCAGATGAAAATTTCTATTTTTCTTTTGTCCACGGTCCTAAGTGTTCCAGTTTCAGAGAGCAAATTGAGGGAGACTAAACTGGATCAGCTCAAAACTCCATCAATAATTACATGCTGTGTCAAACACAATTGCCAATTGCTCAGAGACTGCTTGTGTCAGACTCCAGAAGTCAGTCACACAGTGTTAACAACAGGTGGCTGGTTGAGTCCTACTGGCCTTCTAGCAAACAAATTGAGTCGTTGTCTATCTATCTAGCTTTGAAAAAGCAAACCAACAAGATAGCTGTTTATCCCAGTTCACATAAAACTGTCTGGAGCTATGAAGTCCAGGCCATGGCAGTTTTGAGTCAAGAGGGCCCAGGCCTCACTATTTTTCTGTGACTCTTTCTTTAGACAATGCATCTGTTTAGCTTTAGATTAAAATATGAAATAACTCCTGGAGCTGGGAAGATTGCATTTGGTCCAGGAATGTCCGATGGCTGCTTATGATTTATTTCTATTTCTCCCATTCTAGAGCTTGGAGGACTGTGGACAAGTCTCTGATAAACTTGGTGAAAAACCATCACCACGGACTAATTTTCTAAGAGTTTCTAGTGTGCATGTGTCTGAGTAAACGTGTAACCCTGAAGGAGACAGAATGCATGTGAAAGGCTAGGAAAACAACCTTTATCCCGAGCCAGGTCTGCACTAGCTGCCCTGTGTTATATCCTTTATTCTTCACAACGGCCCTGCAAAGTGGGTACTGTTGTCCGTGTTTTATAGATTAGGAAACTTGCACTGAGAGGCTATGTCATGAAACCCTAGCTACAAAGCTGATAACAAGAGGATTCAAACTCAGGTCTGTCTGACTCCAAAGTGCATGCTTTTTTCTCTAGATCACATTTCCCGGATAATTTAATTTAGGAGATTAGGTAATAGCAGAAAAGCCATTAAGTGATTTCCTAGAATTCCTTCCTCTTAAGCCCCAGGGATATAGTCTTACTCATCTGAAAGGGAGGGTCCAAGAGGGGGCAAACGGATGAATGGGCTACAAAATATATGCAATGCCCTTCAGGCTCAAGGATCTAGGGGGGGGCTTCTTGACTCTGGGTTAACATTGGTGCTAAGAGCCCATAAGATCAGCGGGGTCTGTGGGGGTTCCGGTTACCTGAGTATGTGAAGGAGGGAGGCCTTTTCTGCCGTAAATGCCAACCAGAGCTGCCTTTCCCAGCGACACGTTGAATTTCAGATGCACAGGATGGTCGATGAACACCTGGGATCTCCAGAAAGTGCCAGGAGGGATCTTCTGTGAAGCTCGTCTCCCCACATCGATTTCTCCAGAGTCTATAAAACTGTCCTCTGGAAAGAAACTACTGGGCTTTCCTACCAAGACACAGGGAAGGGGAGACAAAGCATCTCAGTCAGCCACAGACGAAGCAAGGCATGCCCAGGCCTCATGCAGCCTCCACCTCCTCTCCACGGGTTTCTGCTGCCAGCTCCCCGCTACCCGCATGGAGGAGTAAGAAAGTCCAGAACTTTTTTTTTACTCTACCGATGCTCAAATTGCTCTGCTAAAAATATACATTCTTCCAAAGCAGTATGGGTCCTCCCCAAGGGCCATCTGTTTACTGCATAATTCCACAGCTTGTTAAGATATATTTTGATCCTAAAAATAATCATCTGCGGTCTCATGAGAATAACTCTGTGCTTTTGTGTGTGTGTGTCAAGGGGAACATGGTAAAATAGAAAGGATGGGGGAACGAGGTGTTATTGTTCAATTTCCAACTCGGAATGATTCCCCTAGCAATGGGAAGTGTGACTTGAGTGGAGGGGGGTTATTTTAAAAGTTAACTGGCCTGTGTATAAAATAGAAGCCAAAACTCTTTCTTCAAAATGCTTACCTTTGGATGAGGGTAAACATCATTTTGGCAAGTAAAGCAAGTAAAGTTGAGAAAATTTCTCAAGTTCATATACAAAATCTATGCCATACTTGGAAATTCACCCCGGATTTCCAACTCTGTGCATAGCATTCATGCAGGGGGGACAGAAATAAGGTCTCTTGGCCATTTCCGTCACCAATCAGAAGAATGACGGCTTTGTGGGGGCGACAAGTGCTAGGAAGGAGGGCTGCTTATCAAGCTTCCTCTGTTTAGTAATTGAATGCTCACATGTGACAAATAGAAACCCTAACTTCCTGCCAGATATCAGCCTTTTGAAGAGCCGGGAGGGACTCTAGGGATGTTAGAAAGCCCCCCCTTATAGCACTGAAAGCCCAAAATCAGATCAGCAGATTCTATTTTATTTTTCATTACAAAGGACTTCCTGGGTATCCTAGTTTCAAGGTTTTTGTGTTGTTAGAGATGTCTGAAGAGACAATTTAGAGAGTAAGAATTCACTGGTAGAGAAAACACATTTTGGAACTTTATAGAAAAAGCATTTGGGAAATAAGAAATTAAAATGTCTTTTTTTCCTCTAGCTTTGTAAGACTCCTTACAAAACACATTCGATGCTGAAATGGAGCCTGGCAGGGCATTGTTGTAGTCATAAAATATTTTACTGTTTTAAATAATAAAATTCAATTTAAATGTTAAACTTCTCCATATGTTATCATTGCCATATAAACTTCTCGGCAGAAACATCAGGTCTTTAGCTTCAAACCATTAAATGTTATTTTAATTAAAAATATGCCAACAAAAAAGTTAAAATGCACACCATTGATAAAAGTACCACTAGTATTCTGTAATTAGCATGGGAGAGAGTTTGCCTTTAATTCTTTTATGGAAGGAGTGTGCTCCAGACCTTTACCTTCAAAATAAGAGACACACAAACCACCGCACTGTGATTCACAAAGTCCAAAGACAGAAGCCAAATTCACAAAGCGTTAAGATGGAAGAGAATTGCATTCTTTCCTATCTGATTTTTGGGTTACCAATATCACAGCCTTTCTACATAACAGGTAAAAAACAGTACACCCTGAGCTTTTAATTCTACCAGGGAGGCAGAATTATAAGAATTATAAGAAGCATGAAACACAAGCAGATGAGTTCTGAGCTTCTTACTCCTAAAAATTGCAAAGGAATAAGTGCCATACTGCTAATTCCTAGGACTCATTTCCTTTGTGAGTAGGTGGGAGTCAGAGCTGATGTGATTTGAGAATTGTCTGCATTCAAATAATTCCTATGTCTGAAAATAAATAATGAAAAACTGCTCCCTGTTTTAGCTGGCAGCCAGAGAACCCTGCTTAGTTCGTTTTTTCCCCCAGTGAGCCTATTTTTAGGAACCAGCTACTGCCTCAGCCAGATTCTACTGCCTTATAGGCAGAGGCCAAGCCCAGAGGTCTGGAGGCCCCCAGAGGTGACAAAGGGGACTTCTCTTTTCCAGCACTCTAGTATTTCACCTAGGTGGGCTGGATGGGGGGGGCGGGGATTGTCTGTGTGTGTATACGATGAAATAAAAAGAGTAACTTCTGGCCTAGGGCATATCCTCCACCAGGAACTTGAGGGTCTGAGACTGCTGGGTCTGCAACTCCAGCCACAGGGCTGGGCTGGGGGGTCTTGAGGGGAAAGAGCCAGTAGCTTGTTGCTCCCTTCACCTGTCGGGGAGCGTCGTCAGGCAGGCTATGCTGAGGGTGGCAGAGTCAAAGGCCTTCCTCCTTTCTTGTTGTTTGGAAACCGTTATCGCTTTTCACTTTCTAGATCTTATAAGAATCTTTGATCCTAATTCTGAGGACCAAGCTGTGAGGATTAGGATATAAAATATCCCCCCATGAAAGGCACCCTACCCACGGTGGAGAAATGAGGGAGGGCAGAGGGCAGAGCAACTGGACGAGGAAAGTCTTGCATATAAATTTCCTCTTATCCCTACCTACATTCTGACAAAGATATATAATTAATAATAATAATAATAAGTACACACATTAGTGGTAGGAAATGGTGACAAATATAGAGGAAGTGGTATGACCAGTAGTCTTAGCTACCATGTAATGAGCTCCAACCACACTGGCAGCACCTTCACACGGATCAGTTAATTCTCTTAACAGTATTAAAATCTATACACTCAGTCTCACAATGCTTCAAAAAACATTTAGGCACAGTGGCTGAGGTCTATAATACCAGCACTCTGGGAGGCCAAGGTGGGAGGATCACCTAAGGTCAAGAGTTTTAGACCAGACTGGGCAACACAGTGAGATCCCTGCTTCTATAAAAAGTTTTTAAAAAAGAAACCATTTAGAGATGAAGCCATTTAGGTTCCTTGTTTATTAGAATATGGTTTCTGAGAGCACTGAGTTGAATGACGAATTCAAACTCTATGAAGACCTTCTTAGTGGTGGTGGGGTGCATTGACACTCGAGTGCAGTTGAATTCACAGCCCCAGCAGGCTAAATATCAAAGCTGGACAAGCTAGATCCAAGGCCCATTTACAAACTTCTTAGCATCCTAGCATATGAGAGGTTGATCATTTTTACTAACTGGAACTACAGACAGGTCCCAAAGTTAAAGGGCAATAATCAGGGTCTGAAGACATTCATGAAAAGGAACCTTTACCATCACTGGGTACCCCCAGAAGCTTAAGAAACAGCACAAAGAGCTCAGTTCACAATTAGGGCCCCCGGAGTGCAAGATTAGGTTTCACAGGGCAGATTCCTCTGGTGACAATCTAGGCAGATTTAGACTTCCTACAGCAATGCTGCGCCAATACGCAATCATGTACCCCATAAAAGAAATTTCTCAACAAACTGCAGAAATGATTGGATAGCTCAGTCAAATAAGCAAGATTTGGAAGAACTAAAATTCCTTGCACTTTGCAACCATAATCTTTACTTTCCTGAAGTGAGACCCATCATACAGGTTCTAAATTCCTAATCAGCTAACACCCTCCCTTTCCTTCACCTTTTTCATTCTTTGCAATGCAATAACTCGCACAAAGAATCCTTTAGTTTCCTTAGCAACTGTTTGAAATTTATTTGGTTATCAAAATAAGCTGTTCCCTTTTGGAGAGCCCAGCTGAGCCTGCGCACAGCAATTTGCATGGTTCAAACTGATGGGCAATTCTGATTTCATCGCAGAAAGAAGAAAATGCTATCCCTAGCCCACCAATTCAACCATCAGAAATGCTTGTTTATTCAATGCTTTTTCCCCTTCCCCATTAATGCATAACACAAGTTCTTGTGGCTTTACTTTGAAAAGCTGCTGCATTTGGTTTCTGTCTCAACGACAACCCTGAGATGGTTACAGCCATTTTGAAAATATAGCGTGAATTTGCAGTTTGATGTCATTCTCAAATACATGGTGAACATTTACAATACTGGGACTATCATATATTTAATTTATATAATTAAAAATATATACATCTTTTAAAAAGTGCTCAAAAATGCCCTAAAGCTTTTTAGGATCTATGGGAGGTGGTTACCATTAGTCTGGATTTGGGGAAAGCTAATGGCTTATATGGGATGGCTTGGGATTTGAGAAGACAAGGAGGGAATGAGCATTTGTTGGGTGCTTCTTTACCCTTGGCTTTGAAAGGATAAATATTATCATCCCTGTTCTACAGATTAGGAGATGTAGAAACTGTCATGAGTTAATAAAGCCAATATAAGGCAGGGTTAGAGTCCAAATCCTGAGCTGTCTGCCTCTATGACCCATTTACCTTCTCTCTGTCCTCTGCACTGCTTCCCCCATCACTGCAGAGAGGGGCCTCTAATCTTAATTCTGGAATCTGCTCTCTTATTAAATACCCTTGGATGGGACAAGAAATAAGTACTCACATCAGGGTTTAAGACTTTCCCCATTGAGATGTGTCTAAGGATCCACATTTGTAACATCACAATTAAAAACATAAATCGAGTAGACATTGGCATGGACAGGGCAAAAGAAATTGAGAACCATGTGGTCTCCCAGGAACTATAGGAAGCTCTGTCCTCTGATTTTCCAGACTGATATAGTTTTCCACAGTAATTGCTTTTGATGCTGACCACTTCCCAGCCCTGTGCTGCGTTGAAGGGGTTTGTAAACAGGATTTCCATTTGCATCAGTAATGACAGATAATCCCTTTAAGCAAAAATACTCCAATTAAAATAAACCAATAAACTGGTCCAATTTTATTTTGTCTCTTATCTGCACCTCCTGCTCCTTGGGAAAAACAAAATAAAACCTAAACAGCCCACAGACTAATTTCATTAGAATGGGAGATTTCAGATAGATCCAACTCCCATTTAAAGCATGTTTGATAGGGATCATGGAGGGAAGAAAATACATTTTGCTAAATGAGACCCTTTACCAGGTCTTTAAGGGTTGAACATACTTTAAATCTGCATTTACACATGCTGATCTAAGACAGTCTTCATTTTGTGATTTTTTTTTCAGATTAATATAAAGGTACACTGTTATATTGAGATGATGAGGTTACGCTGGTTCGTTAGGTAGAGTCCAAGTTGTAGTTGTGCCCCTCACCCAGGAGGTGTGCCATACACCCTTACATTGTGTCCATTAGGTGAGAACATGCCAATCCCCCTCCATGGTCTGCCCCCCCAATTATAAAATTAATTGTGTTTTTCTCTTGTGTGGGTGTGTATTAGTTTGTCTACTGGTTTCATACTAGTATCAAATACACTGAATACTTGCTTTTCCATTCATGTGATACTTTCCCAAGTAGAATGTTCTCCAAACTCCATCCAGGTTAATATAAAAGATGTAAAGTCTCCATCTTTTATATGGCTGAATTGTATTCCATGGTATATATATACCACAGTTTATTAATCCATTCCTGGGTTGATGGGCACTTGGATTGATTCCCCATCTTGGTGAACTGCAATAAACACTCTAGTGCAAACATCACTTTGTGATAATAACCTGCCATCTGACACTATAGAGTCACATGACAACAAGCAGGACCACCAACAGGGCCAATTTGAAATAAAAAAAATGGGAAGAGCTGTCCAGTTAGTTACATGATGATTCTGTTACTAATTCTACACACACAACTTACAAATGAGAATGTATCTTAGAGAGAATCTAGCCCAATAACCTCCTTTTGAAGAGGAGGGAAATGATATCCAGAAAGGTGTTCAAAGAATCTGCTTAAGGCCACACCATAGGTCAGTGGCAGCCACTAGATGTGTGGGCTTAGGGCTTCTGATAACTCAGGGCTCCTCCCACAGCCCCAGTCATGACACTTTCCTCCATATTCTAATAAGGGATAAATGAAGTAGAAATTATTCAATGTTTTAAGTCTTAAAATCTATGCAAAGGAGAGGACTGACTTTGCCCCTGAAAATACTGGACAGGGGTTCCAGCTTGGTTCTGTGTCCTCATTCCCCTTAAAGATGACTGCAGGCCAGGAGTTGACTTTGGCCTTTAGGATCATCACCTGAGAGGTCATGAGTAGATACTGAGACCAAACATATGCCGTGCTGTTAGCTACCTGACTGCTGGAAGGCAAATCCTTGTAAGGACAGGGAAGCTCAGAAGCTATGACCCCAAAGTTAACTGAGCTGAGAGGAAGGAAGATGTACACAGTGAGGGTTGGAAGAAGCTCCAGCCACCGGGCTGACTGTGGCCAGGACGCCAGGGAGGTAAAGCAGGCGATGGCAGATGAGGAGAAGCAATGCCACTGACCAGGCGGACAACCAGGCTGGCCTGTCACCTCTGACATCCTTCCTGGTTCCAGTTTTTGTGAGTCTGTGCCACTCTTGGCTGACAGTGAGATGATCTGTGTCCATGGCATGTTAGAAAGACCTCTCAGAATATGGGCACATGGGTCTGTGGATGTCCCCGTTGAGAATGTCAAACCCAAATGCCACCACCATTTCCATCGTTGATAGAGAAATATTTGTGCTGCACTGTACAGTAGAATTTCACATCCACACATCTGTCAGCATTTTATAACTGTAGGCTGAGTCATGTAGTGAAGCTTATGGAGACAACGAGAGCCCTGGAGTCATGGGCCCGGACTCATGTTCCAGACTCCACCATTTACTGGCTATGTGGCTCTGGCCAAGTCATGTAATCAATGCAATTCTTAGTTTTTGCATCTGGGATAGTGTAAATAATTATGTCAGCTCACAGGATCTCTGTGAGGATTAAATGTAAAATTCAATCTCTTGACAGAAACCTTTGAAACAAACATGCTGTACAAACAGTAATGATTCCCGCTATTACTGCGGATGTGGAAAGTGGCGCTCAGGGAGACTGAGTGACTTGTTCCAGGTCACAGGGTCACATGGCTAGTAAATGCTAGACCACTTGAAGTGGTATTTCCATTACACTTCGAGAGTCCCAAATCCTTCCATGATGACACCCACCGTACCCCACCCCCACAGATACCCACTCCTCCCATAAGGTTTGCCCGGGAGGGCTTGTGTGACCTCACACAGATGGCCACCTCAGCAGTGTGAAACCCCCTAGAGGCATGAGATGGGACACCGCTGAGCAGCGCCAGCCCTGCCCGAGCCCCCCATGAGCTCTCAGTGACAAGGAACTATGATGAAGACAAGGTGGACTGGCAGCCGGCGTGGTGGGCGGAGGGATGGAGGAAGCCAGCGCATGGAGCTGTGAGCGTGACGGAGGCCTCCTCGGCTCCAAGGCAGACAGAGAGGACTCACAACACGGACGAGGCAGAACCCTACCTTCGGTGGCTCCTTTGCCTCTCCTGTCAGGGGTCTCTAAGCCAGTGCCCCCTGAGGGGTACAGAGAGACGTCTGTCGGCACAGGCCAACTGCTGGCTGTGTCCTCCGTGATCTCATACATCTGTCCCTCCATCGGCTGCAGGTGCCAGTTTAGGCCAAACAGGTGCATGGCTGTGGTGAGCAATGAGAAAAGTCATCTTTTTCTGCTGGAGGCGCAAATGGAACTCCCAAGCCTTAAGGGAAGGGTGGGCGGGGTGGGAGAGAGAGGATAGCCCCAGAGAGAGCTCTCGGGGTGCTGGGCCCCACAAAGGGGAGTGGGTGCACAGAGGGGATGGAGGCTCGTCCCTTGCCCTCGTGGGGCTCACAGTCTGGTGGAGCTGGGAGGGGAAAAGGGTGGAGGAATCTCAGCAACTCTTAGTTTGTTGCTTCAAAAGATAAATACCCATGTAGGGGGACAACTGCAATTTGTATCATAAAGAGTTCATTTTCTGAGTATAAAAATAACTTTTGCAAGTAATAAGCAAAGTCCAACAACTCAGTAGGAAAATAGGCACAGGATATGAACAGACAGTTTACAGAATAAGAAATACAAATGCCTCTTAATCATAAGAAAAGACTCTTGGCATCACTCATAGTAAAAGAAATGTAACTCAAACTCTGAAATACTATTTTTCACATATGGTTTGGCAAAAATTAAAAAAGTTGAAAATATACTATACAGGCGGAGAATGGGAAGCAAAGCATTCTCATACTTTCCTGGTGTGAGAAGAAGCTGGAGGAAACCCATGGAGGGCAATGTGATAAACGCTAGCACATTTAAAACACACACGTTACCCAAGATTGAAAGTTTCCAAGTCTACAAACGTCTCCTGCAGATATACCCACACATACACCAAATGATGCACATGAAGGTCTTCTCCACATCAGAGTTTGCAACAGCCAAATATTAAAAACCAGTTTGTCAACAGGGGCAAGGTAAGTAATATCCACATAGCAAAATCGTATGCAACCATAAAAAAGAGTGAGGACGCTCTTTATGCATTTTTTTCTGGAAGAAAAACTATAATATGCAGAAGTGTATTTAATATACTACACTTGGGTTAAAAAAAATCCCCGTATGTGTAACAACAGTTCTGGAAATACATGAAAGACATTGGTATCAGTGGGTGTGTCCTACCAGGGGAAAAATACATAGTAGCATGGGGGGGGGGAGGTAGGAAGGAGATTTGCTTTTCACTATGCATCTTCTGTACGTTTTTACTGTGTACTGTGTACATGCACTTAGGTTTTGCATTTTTTTCTAAGAGCAACTGCTAAATAGTTGTACAACAATCTGGAAGAGACCATAGGATGCCAAAGAAATGAACATCATTCCTCGAGATGCACGATGTCTGAGAAAACTAGGAAGCCTATTTCCAAAGAGCTTTGCAAACTAGTACAAAATGTCTGCTTACGTCCCATCATGGTCCAGACTCACCTTCTTCGGGATTCCTACCCCGATTCCCCATACACAGAGTTAGGCGCTCACAGCCCTGGACTCCTACGACATCCTATACGGTAGCACTTCCTCTACCGCTGCATTGATGCACATTTCTGAAACCCCACTCTGTGGTAGTTTCTAGAGAGCCAGAATTGAATTAGATAGTCCCTGGTTTGATAAGCTGACAGTCAAGGAGGAAAGGTGGACAAATAACAAAGTCTATTCAGAAGGACTAGAAGACCCCGAGGGAGTAACTGATCTGTTAGGAGGGCCAGGAGGATAGAGAAGGAGCTACAGAGATATGAAGGCCAGTAAGTAGTTGTATTCACTAAGAGCCTACTGTGTGACAGGCAGTGTGCTGGGTAACTTGTATACATTACCCGTAATCCTCACGGCAACCTCACCAAACCCAATTTACAGAGGTGCATGTTAAGGCTCAAAATGTTAATTAAAATGATGATAATTATAAACCTATCATTTGTTGAGTTCTTCCTATATACACCAGGCTTTGTGCTAAGAGTATTTAAAGCAATATTTCCTTTAACTCTCACAACAATCTTGAAAGATGAATATAATGACTCCATTATACAAGTGCAGAAACTAACACACCACAAGACTAACTAACATATACAAGGTTAAATGGCTAACAAGTGGCAGAGTCTAGACTAGAACCCTATACTGTCCAAATCCCGAGAACACACACCCATCAGTGCTCATCTTCCTGGTGTGGAGGCCCGGGCTCTACCATGTTGCTGGGGCAACTCTCACTGGCTGTGTCCAGCAAAGGCGTCATAAAGACGTCCCCTTTTAAACATCAGATAGTTTCCAAGGCTTTTAAATCTCTTTTCGGTAGCAACCCAGAATCCTGTGAGGTGGAGAAGCTGTGTCACCTGGCCCCCATTTATGGGAGATGTCACAGATGGTGGCTTTGAGGGGCTGTGTGGCTACCTTCATTTTTCGACAAACTACTGAGGGCACAGGGCACCCCTCTGATTTTTAGTCCAAACAGGATCCCTCAGGAACACACACAAGTCTGCTCTAGCTAGCAGGCCTCACCCTGGTCACAGCAACGAGATCCAATCTTTTGCTTTTTCTTTGGTTACTGTGATGCAGGGGAAAGGGTGCTGGACCAGAAGCAAGAAAACTGGTTTTGAACCCTAACTGCCACTTCCTAGCCGTGCCTCTCATCTGAGCAACGGGCACAGAAACCTCAAAAGACTGTGGTGCCAAATGCAAAAATACGTGGCAAAATGCTTTGCCCACTGTACACCTGTGTGGTGGCCGTATTTTCTGACCACTGTATTTACACCATTGATGGGAATGCACTGACTACAGGTGCGGGCATTTGTTGAGCACCTTTTTAGGCACCAGATACCTAATGTGTGGTGTTCTATACTGCTCACTGCTTCCTCTGTGTAGTTGACAATAATAACAGGACACTGCGCTTGCCTGGTGGGAATGAATACTCTCTGTTTCTGGGGCTGAGTTAGCTCACATCCCTGCTCATCTTTTTACCATTTCAATCTGCACACTGGCAAATCCAGAGGTAACGGAGAACTGTTTGAGCTACAGACAACTCAGATGTATGCAGTTAAATGAGTAGTGCTTCTTTCCCCATTAGAGTCAATTATCTCATCTGAGTGTGCAAAAGTGCTGTCTTATTAAAAGGTCAGGAGAATTAACTCATCCCAGAATGAATAGAATTCTCAGAGCTTGGTGAAGAAAAACGTTTTTATTGTCAAAGCTTTCTCTTATTCTTAACAAGATGCAAAATCAAGTTCTTGCTTTAAAAAAAAAAAAATGCTGAGGGGAGAAATAGGCCAGGGAAAAAAGTGTTGCATGTGAAAATGATCAACAGGTCTGGGGTCCCGGGGTAAGTTAGTTAGGGCAAGAAAATCCAAGATGCCAGCTCCGCTTCCTGTCCATGTTGAACCACTGGCCATCCCAGAGGCCCATTAGCTCTGTGATCTATGGAAGATGCACTCCTGAAAACCACCTGGGACAGCAAAACTCTGCGTCTGACTCCAGCTTAGACTGATTCTTGTAGGAAACACTGCCATGGAGAAATGATTCTGGAGGCTGGTGGGGAGGAAAGTAAATCCAGGGTCTCTAAGACTGGAATGAGAAATGGCTAACTGGAAGCTACAATTTAAACACAAGCGTAGGACGAGGTAGAAATTCAGAGATGTGGAGTTTGGCCAGCAACGTTGTCTTAAAGCCAAAATAAAGGGGACCCTTAATCTGTGATCCAGCGTCTTAAATATGAGTCATGCTAGTGATCCCTCAATTCTTTTATTGTTTGGCTAGTGGTTAATTTTACAGTTCTGGGTCATAGGGGAGGGGAAGTGAGAAGGGAGAGGGACAGTTTGCTCTTCTCTTCTTCCCAAAAGACACAAGACGTGCTCAGCCAGAGTCTGCTCACAAAATACATATGATGAAGTGACTACTCTTCTTTACCCTTTCTGATCATTGTAATAAAAAACAAAATTAGTATCACTTCAACGCATACTGTCTGCCAAATGCTTTATTTACATTATTCACTTTCACCCTTATATAAAGGAATTAGAATAGACATACAGCTATAATGATATACTTTGATTCACTCAGTTACCCAAGACTGCAGAGCCAGTAGAAATATCAAACTCAGGAGTCTCTGTTCCCAAACCAAGCTTCCTCTTCTACATTTTTTATTTTAAATAGAAGGTAAAATATGGACAAAACAAAGCTACTAGCAAATAAAGTTAGAAACAAATGTTTGGGGAATCCTGATAGTCATAATAAATAAATATTTCTTGGCCCACAGCAACCCTCATTTAAATCAGTACATAGCAGTAAGTGTACATTACCCAAATGATTTAGAAATAGTAACTAAAAATTAAAAAAAAAAATACAACTAAGAAATACAAATGGTTCTCCCTACCCTGCTAAGAATGGATCAGACCACTGAAACAATATAAATTACAATCATTAGGCTGGGCGAGGGGGCTCATGGCTATAATCCCAGCACTTTGGGAGGTGGTGATGGGAAGAGTTCAGGAGTTCAAGACCAGCCCGAGCAAGAGCAAGACCCTGCCTCTAAAAATAGCTGGGTATTTTGGCAGGCACCTGTAGTCCCAGCTACTTGGGAGGCTGAGACCAGAGAATCCCTTGAGCCCAAGAGTTTGAGGTTGCTGTGAGTTATACCACCATTGGCACTCTACCGAGGGCAATATATTGAGACTCTGTTAAAAAAAAAAATTACAATCATTATATTCACCTTGTTCCCCGAAAAATTAATGATAACCACCTACCATCATGATTACCTGTATTATATCTTGGGTTGTGTTTTTATAACAATTGTGCAAAACTCTCAAGTACACTGAAAGTGACCTACATAAAAAACTTGATGCTGCTTTTCCCAATAGACTAGTTTGTAATTCAATGAAAAGGTGGAAAGACGCTAAAGAGTTCAGAAAAAGGCTGTGGAAAGGTAGTGGCTTCACAGAGATCACCCGCATTGAAATGTTAATGATTTCTAAAAGCCAAGAGCCAGAGTAAGAGACATTCAGATTCCCTTGGCTCTGGTCAATCTGATCCCAAGGCTGACATTTTCCTGTTGCCTTTACCTGCCCAGCCAGACATGAGAGATGGCTCAGAAAGTGCAGGCTCTGTGTTGACATTTTTAAGAAATGCTCCATAGATGCTCAGACAT